TAGTACACCATCAACAAATAGATTTGCTTCTAACCATCACAATTCCAGCATCAGCACATTCAGAAATAACAGTTTGTATGCAAAAGCAGCACAACGCCACTTGCCTTTGACAGCAAAAGCTACTATATGAGAAACAATCAGAAGGTGCGAATCGAAAATGTTTTCAGTGTAATGGCGCGCTGATATGCTGGCTTTTATGATTAGATTTTTAAAGATGGAGTTCGATGAACTGGATGAGCCTGTCTGACTGTCTGTGAATGTTAAATGAAAACATCCCTTACTTCAAAACTCTGTGCGTTACAAAAAAAAGAAAACAAAATGTACAGTCGAAAGTGTAATGTGCATTCATCAAGCAGTGACGCTACTTGAAATGAGTCAGATTTACTATATTTTACACAGCAACTCCGTTTCACGAAAGACAGAGTTAAGATGCCGTTCTTTTATCCTACGGGGATGCTTGAGGATAAACAAGAGACCAAGACTTTGAGTATGGTGAAAATGAATGAATGAATGACAGCTCTATAATTGACTGAGAGGCATCCCCTTTTTGCTTAGTACAAGTTACCTTGTGTTTTATTTGCTAATTTAAGCTATTTTTTAAAGATAAATGTAATATATAAAACAATACATTATTTATATAAGTTCATATTACCTATACGTCTGATAAGCTTTTTATATTAATGGACAATGCACAGATATTGTTGTTTCGCAATGTTTACACACTACATTATTCGAATCTACCAAGCTTAGTTTACAATGTTTACATTGCTCTATTTAAATTCAATCTAAATCCCAAATATCAGAAGTGACAACATATTGTTAAGATTTAATTATTGTCTGTTTTAATGTTATTGATTGATGCACTTGACAGATTTCATTCATTTTTCTTTTGCTTTTTCCCTGGTTTATCAGAAAGGAATGAACCGCCTGACAGATTATATTTTTTTTTAATTTTAGGTGGTTTGTGTATTTTGTGTGTGTTCTATGTTTGGTAAAATAATTTCTAATTGCATCTTTAGTGATTTTCAGCTAATTACAATGTCTTGTCCCAGTAGGTGGATTTAGAGGTTTTTGCAAAAGAAATCACAAGTGGATTTAACTGGTTTTGACACAAGAGAAAATCTACTTTGTTAAAAACCAAAGAATTGTCTAAAGTGACATTTTTGAAAAAAAAAAAAAAGGATTTTATTTACTAGCTAATAACCTTATCATTATCTGTAAATTGAAACTTCTGAATCTGATCAGATAGAAAGTGCTCGTTTACAAGAAAAGGGGTCTGATGGATTTAGACGGTTTTGCATCTGAACTCTTCATATCTGGCTGCTTTAAGCAGATCAACTATTATAGTCTCAGTAAGAATTTTTTGAAAATGTTTTGTTTTCTGTTCACCAGACCTGCATTTATTTATTCAAAAATCAAGTAAAACAGTTGACGCTGTGAGCCTTGCTGGCAGTGTGCCAACATTTAGGCTAGCACCTTTGTTTCTTTTCTTCAGGCATCTCGATATTTAAATTCCAGCTTTTGACCTTTTCACCCTCTTTCTCTCTTACTTTGCTTCCTATCTAAATACTGTTCTATACTAATAATGGCAAAAACTGCAAAAATTGTATCTATTAAAATCAGTTAAAACAGTACTATTGTGAAACACAATTTTAATTAAAAATAAGTAAAACAAAATATAATTAAAATATAAATATTAAAGGATATACACTTACCGGCCACTTTATGTACACCTTACTAGTACTAGGTTGGATGTGCTTTTACTTTCAGAACTGCCTTTTTCTTTCTTGGCATAGATTTAACAAGCTACTGGAAACAGAGACTTTGGTCCATATTGACATGATAGCATCACGCAGTTGCCGCAGATTTGTCGGCTGCACATCTATGATTTGAATCTCCTGTTCCACCACACCCCAATGGTGCTCCTTTGGATTGAGGTCTGGTGACTGAGGATGCCATTTGAGTACAGTGAACTCATTGTCATGTTCAAGAAACCACTTTGAGATGATTTGCACTTTATGACATGGTGTGTTATCCTGCTGGAAGTAGCCATTAGAAGATGTGTACACTGTGGTCATAAGTGGATGGACATGGTCAGTAACAATACTCAGGTAGTCTGTGGTGTTAACATGATGCTCAATTGGTACTAATTGGCCTAAAGTATGTCATGAAAATATCCCCCACACCCCATTACACCACCACCACCAGCCTGAACTGTTGATACAAGGAAGGATTGTATTTTAAAATGTATTAGACTATATACTAAGTATTTTTAGCAGTCACAATGCTGTTGGTTATATGAACAAAAATCTCAGTAATAGTATTTTAAATGCATGAATGCTATAACAAGTCCTGGCATATCCCAAAGGTATAAGCAGTCAATTATTTTCTTTTTGTGTGCCTGATCCAGGCCATATTATTGAGCTTCAATTCGATATTTGCAGCTGCCACAAAAAAAAAAAAAAAACATAGATAAAATAATAAAGCTAAACAAAACAATAAAACTAAATAATTTGTCATAACTAATCAGCTTCACTTAATATTTGATGGATGACTAGTTGTCCATCCTGATCCATCCCTATTAATAAACGGGTGATGACCTGAAGACCGTGTAAACTTTTGTTGGAAAAACAAAACGTGTTTCTGTGTGTGTCGTCTGCCATTCAGCAATAATGGCCTTCGTTCAGACCCTTCTCTCATGGCCACCATTACCTGCAATTTTGAGCTCATTATTCGTCTTGCGTAGGCTCCGGTCACAGCTCTCGCCGCTGTTGCATCGCACCCTCCTCCATGTCTATTATTTCACATGTCATTTAAATGCACACCTGTCGTCCTTGGTTACCTTGGTGTCCTGTTCTCTCCACACTGAGTGGTGTCTGGGATTTTGCATGCAAATGTAAAGGAGGGGGGGTGGTGTGGATTAGGATAAATGGATTTTAATGAGAATGAAAAGACAGAGTGTGTCTGTCTGTACTGTACAGAAGATCAGTCTTCTCTATCGAACGCTCAATGTATTGCCAAGGTTTGTGTTGTCTGCTGCCAAACACAGTCTGTACTTTAGTGTGATTTTTAGATGTGTAAATGAAGCAAACAAACCTGTTGTTTAGAATAATGTGTCATTGCGAATAATTACCGTGCGACCACTCACTCCCACTTTTGCAGTCCCTCATGCACCCAGTTGGCCATCTGTTGAGCACCAAACAGTGAAAGGACACTGACTGTGGTGTAATCTTGCCCCTGGGGTTTGAAAACAGTCACATTTCTTTTAAATAGGCATGTAACGGTACATAAATTTAAGGATTTGGTTGGTACCTTGATTTTGAAGCCACTGTTGCGTTTGTTTTTAAAACAGCAGAGGAAAATGTTTGACGTGAAATTGTTTCTTTTTTGTTTTTAATTAAACAGTCTTGCACTGGAAAACCTGGTTTTGGCTTTTAAATAAAGTCCCCCAACACTGCTGCAATCAGTTGCAAAGCACACTTGAGTTTTCTTTAGTTAACATCAACTGGTACATGTAGAAATGTAGAAATACTGAAATTGTGAGGTATGAGGTATCCATATGAGGTACTTAAAGACATAAGGTGAGCTAATAACTTATGCACGATTCATAAGGGACTTCAGCGTCAACACTTGATGACGGAGGGTTTGTCTGTAGACGCAAAACGAGGGGTTAGGGAAAGGGGTAGAATTGGATAGATTGGGTCTAATAGCTGGTTTTCACTGACTGGTACAGTATGGTACGGTTTGGGTTGTTAAGGGTCAATACTCCAAAAGGTGATGATAATAGTTAAACATGGCAGTGTGTTCACGTTTGCTATAGAAATAATGTGCTCCTTTTTTCTGGCTTGTCCTTTGTTTTTTCGCGCTTCAGACAGGGTAAATCTGCTCTTCTTTTTGGCTTTATGGCTGTTCATCAAGACGACCAGGTTTGTTTGAGCCCAGGTTGACCATGGCTCGTTATTATATTTATATAAAATTACGCTGTAATCTCTCGGCTCGTCGGCTGTGTATTTTAAACATGGCGGTTTCTTTGTTTTCATTCTGGCTTGTTGTGTAAGCGAATGACGTATCTCTGTAAACCAATAGCTTTCAGCTGTGTGTGTAGCTTCGCCTTTTGGTACCCTTTCTCGTCTTTGGTAACCAAAGGGTACCAAAAACAGTGCCGAAAAAGTGGTATGGTTCTGACAGTAGAAACTATTAAAGGGTTAGTTCATCCAAGAATAATAATTCTGTCATTAATTACTCACTCTCATGTCTGAGCTCTTTGTTCATCATCAAAATACAAAAGTCCTAAAAAAAGGATCAGAGTTGTCCATGTGTCTTCAGTGGTTCATAAAGCTCCAAGAACGCTGCTGTATTCTGAAAATACATAGTCTTTTGTACAAGATCAGGGTGTGCATTTACTATGGACAATACAACAATTTCTACTGCTGACTCTAATGGCAATATGTTGTACTGCCTGTAAACATGCACCCTGACGACCTGAAGATAAAGGCTAACAAAGCTATATTTACAGTTTTGTTTTTTGCTACTCAAAGGTGTTCATAGAGCTTCATACGATTACAGTTGAACCGCAGAAGTCATGCGGAATATTCTGATGCTGTTTTGGTTCATTTGCTAGACTTTAAACATCTCAGGACCGTTGCTGGAGCTCTCAGATTTCATCTAAAATACCTTCATTTGTTTTCAGAAGATGAACGAGGGTGTCGAGATTGGAAAGACATGAGGGCAAATAGTTAATAAGAGAGTAAACTAAATCTTAAGGCTAACAACCAAACAAGTAATTGATTATATGTTTAAATGATCATCAACTGTCAATAAAGAGAATTTGTGGAAATTAAGATTCCTTATCCCAGGCATCAAAAGGATTTAAATTGAATCCATTTATCAGTTTATTGATGTAAAATACTGATGGGTTTTCTCCTTGTCAGGTTTGCTCTCATAGCTGTGCCAGCTGAATATAACGTGTCCCTTTTTCTCTCTCTGTCTGTCTTTTTTAGTGTGTGCTGTTCCTCTGGACACTGAAAATCAACCACCCCAACACCCTCTTCCTCCTCAGAGGGAACCATGAGTGTCGGCACCTCACAGAATACTTCACCTTTAAACAGGAATGTGAGTGCTGTGGGAATGAACCGTCTAGAATCGCTGAGAGCTAAGTGATGTGTTGGCTCAAACCGCCCGCCAGCCTTTTCCTCCGCTTTCACTGATGTTCCTCCTTTGATGTCTGAAAAGCTGCATTTTCAGACAGCTGTCACCAGCTACTACTTTCATTTACTGTGCAAACAGTATAACATTACACCTGCAGTTAAGGCTTCAGAATTTGCCTTATTATGGTGGACCGTAAACTGCAGATTTTTTTAATCGTATTTACTTTACATTGTTGATTTTTATGCTGGACAGAATACTTGTGATGACTTTAACTTTTTACTACATTTACTATTAAGCATGGGCTGGTATAAGATTCTGACAGTGTGATAACCTTGCATAAAACCATCACAGGTTCACAGTTTTGTGATTACTGCTCTAAAATATGTTCTTTTTAAATGTCTGGGTAAAATACAAAAAAAACGTTTTATCCCCTTTGAACACAATATATTTTATTTTCATAAACCTTAGAAGTATTTTGGAGCAGTAAACATGTCAGGCTAAATAATTCAAATGAATCATTAGCCCCTTTCACACAGCAATACCAGTAAATATCCAGAAAATTTCCAGAACGACACGCAGGCAAGGGTAGTCTAGAATTTTTTTTTTAGAAAAGACTATTCACATTTATTCAAAAAATTTTGGTAGATTTTGACATCCTTAACCAGAAATTATATATATTTGTCATTTATAAATATAAATGCCTTTTTTTATTCTAGATTTTTTTTTTTCTAATTCGAAGACTATTTACTCCCGGACTGCTCTTCATTGGAAATGGATGACTTCTGGTCTGTCACTTGTTGTTTGTCATGTGAAAGGGAAAGGAGGCTAAAGACTTGTATTCCAAGGATTATGACAAGTTTTTCAAAGTTGTCATAAGTTGTCAGTCAGTCAACATTAATATGAATCAATAATTCATTCAAGACTTTTATATCGAAATCACCTTAAATAGTCAGCTATTAGTATTAACTGAGATATTTAGTATTGCCGCATTCTCTAAAGCAAGTTATTGGTGACTCCGATTAGAAGCAGATAAAAAGAAAACTTAATGGAAACTGAGCTGCTCTGACACACTTAGTCTGGTATATGTAGTACAGCATGTTTGACTACTTTGTTGTGTAAATGTAAAATGTTTTTTAAAGCACAAGGGAAAAAACTTCTGTTTTGGGCTACATTGGTAGCATATTGCGATATCTAAAAATACGACAAATAAAACTTGATAATCGTACTCTAACCGAACCGTAACACCAGTCTGGGCTCACACCTTTAGCTTTTCTTTTTCCATTTAGTTTCCACTTACATTTTATAGATTTAATTTCTGCTTTATTTGAATGATTTTTAGTAGATTTAGTTTCGTTGGAATAACATCACTGGCTTGCAATACTGACTTGATTGTCTTTAAGGATGGGCTGCAGGCGTGCAGTTTGTTCAATATGTAATGTTGTTGCATACAGTTTCGCCAATGAAAAACAAAAGTCCTATTTAAATATTTACAGTAGATGACAAAGGGTTGGGAAAATTAGACTGGTTTTACACCCTTAAGGCATTTAAAATAAACTCCTGTCTGTCACAGTGTCGAAGTGTTCTCTCGTCTATAACAACCCTTTCAAGACTGTCTGAATATTCCCACTGCCGTAAAAAGAAGTTCATAAAGAAGTGTCGTCTTGTTTACGAGCCATACGTGCTCTGTTTTCTGCAAACAGCACTTTGTCCCTATGAGAAAACGGGCGCGCAGACAGCTCTATTAGAGTAAGGTTTGTAAGGCTCAGTGTTTGCTGCCAGAAAGTGTCCAGGTGTGAGTTATTAGTATGCCGAATAGTGAAGTGGCCGAGGCTCATCTGGCTCACAAAGAGACAAACCCGATGAGCCGTTGTACACTATATGCGGCATTACCTCCCCTGATTTATGGGGAGAGTAATGTCTTTTCATTGTCAAGCCTCTCATTAGCATTCTTTTGCAATCATTTATTTAAAACCTTAATTCAATGCAGCATGACCAGCCAGGAGCTCAAATAGGAGCTGTTTAGCTTCTTTTCAGGCAGAGGTTTATTCACGCTCCAGTTGCTTACAAACACGGAGACATATTTGCTATATTTCTACACTGGGATTTCTTCTGTGTTTGTCTGAAGTGGTCGACTCCTGGTTCGCGTCTACTGAGTCAGAAACCCATCTGCTAGCAGGTTATTACTGCACTCCTAAAGCCAGCGCTTGGAGATCACGTGACCAACCTGGACTTATTTTCAGCTGTTGACACCTGAAGTGTTCATGCCCTTCTGCCATTTATGTCATAGCAGCTGGCAGCTAGCTTTTTTTTTCATTTATTTAATTTGGAAACACTTGTCAGTTGCAATATATCAGCTAGAGCGCTAACATTAGCTAACATTTTTAAACCCTGCATGTTAACATGACGAAAGAAATCGCTTGCTAATCTTGTAAAGTTATATTCAGTTGTTTAGCTAATGGCATCATGACTGCCCTTGTGACAAAGATCACTATAGCACACGTTTAAGTTAATAAGGAATATGCAAAGTAATATGCACCCCGCAGTTTGAAAACCCCTGCCCCGAGTGTGTACGTGAAGTTTCAGCTCAAATGACCACACAAGTAATGTTTAAGAACTCTTTGAAACTGCCCCTTTTAGGCTTTGATCCTAATTGTGGCATTTTGGTGACAGACATAACATTTAAATGAGATTGTGTGTTTTTTTTTGTTTGTTTTTTTGGGTGGGGCTACCAATGCCTGTGCGTCAGCATAGTGGTAGATTCAAAAACAAGACTAACGTCCTGCTTATGAGGGAGAACTTGCTACTGATGCGCAGGGCTTTCCTCCGCTAATGACATGTACAATGGAAAAAATGCTAATCAAAGTGTTTCTGCAGATTTTTATAAAGTGTTATTATATAAAATAAAATTGATCTTTTTTACCATTAGAAGCTGGTTAGTTCACAGATTGTTGCCACACAACTGTTTAAACCCCTTATAAAAGTGATTTCTGCATAGTAGGTCCCTTTTAAGATCTATTTAATTTACTATTAAAATAAATCGGTAAGATTTTAAAGTAATGGTGCATTAGTTATTAGTAGGCCCACACGGCATCTGCACGAACAGAAATCCGCAGAATTCCACAGATTTTTAGCCCATTATTGAGTCTAATTAATTGTGTAAATGTTTGTAAATTTATATTTATTTATTTTTTTATCTTCACTATTATTATTATTATGCTATAATAATAAATATGATTTATTTACAATACAGTTTGTAAAGTAATATTTTCTGTCTTTTAGTAGAAATATTTTTGAGAGACTTGGTTTGTTTACCAAATATGCATTCTAATTGGATTTGCATTGTAAACATAAATAAAAGTTTAAAACGTATTTTTTAATTGTATATTTTTAATTTGTTAGTCATGATACTCCTAAAACTATTCCACATAATCCGCAGATTTTTTTTAAAAACAAAATTCTCTTCAGAAATAGCAAAAAATGTCAGCAGATTCTGTCTGGCCCTAGTTATTAGTTATAAGTAACAATTGTATACACCATTTATTAATCATAGTTCAGCATTTACTAATTATGATTTACTTATAACATTAACTAATGGACCATTATTTTAATGTGTTACTGATAAATCAACAGTACATTTTAATTGTTGGTGGGTTATTAATTTGTGATATCATTTGAAACTAATTAATCATTTGTAACCAAATAATTAAACTGACTTTGGTTACTTAATTTCATAATGAAACAAATTTCAACTCATGGCCAAATGGAATGCTAGAACACAATTCATTTTGAACCAATGATGTCAGGACACTTTCATTTGATTAACCTACTGAATTAAAGTCATCTGGGACACAGTTTACTCATGTTGAGCCAATTTATTTCAATCACTTAATTTGGAAAAACAGAATTTTCTGGTAATTATTGCAGTTCAAATTTAAAAAATAATAGACTAAACAATTAGCTTTAATAATGCTTATTGTTTTTATATGTAATGTAACAGATGGGGAAGCAAAAAAGACTGATCTCATTCAGAACTGCACAGGCTCATTGAGGGAAGCAACAAACATCACTGTTGTTAATAAAGCTGCCAACACCAAGTTCAGTTGCCACTTCTCCACCAGCTAATAAACTCAAAACCTTAATTGAAACTTTGAAAAAAATTTTTCTCTGAACTTATAACACCTAAGATTACAGTCCCACGCAGGTCCACTAACCAGGTGGTTATACCAGCACACATTGTTCATGTTGTCCCAACACAAAATGATTAAGCTAATGACCATTTGTCTCATTTATACTATAGGTCTACAATACTAGCTACTATAGAGCACACTATAGCACGTATAGTTTAGCTTCTTAGTTCAAACTAAATGGAATTTAAATGAAGGTTCTTTTGAAGGTCTGATTAAATCCCTGATTTCGGGTTTTGTATGGGTCAGTGGCACTAGTCCTTTGTGCTTGAAATGAACACTGTTTGCTATTAGGCTCATACAATAGCGTTGAGGCCATTGTGTTCTGCATAACAAAGATGGAGGTGGTTTTATAGTAGCCCGTTCAGTGGAAGCCCAAGTGCTCTCCATGAGACCTCGTTCACAGAGCGAATGTGTAATAACCCAGCTGTATTTAGTGGAAACCAAGACAAGACTAATGAGACTACTTCAGTCCAGATACTGAAGTATTAATAAGCTTAATCAGCAGCTGAATTAAGTATTCGCATTGCACTAATTAGGCTCATTTGAATTTAATTGAATAGTCCCTGCTGCTTTTGTCTGCTTGGTGGCAGGTCTCGTCGCTTTAGGTCGGGTTATTACTGTACAGACATGCTGGTTGACATCACAAAATATTAATATGCGGAAAACATCTAACATGTTCTCGACGAGGATGGCTTTTATTGATTAAATGGTGCATGTATTTATTTGAGAATTTCAAGGGTTTCAATAGTTCCAAAAATATATTAGGTAGTTTATTGGAATACATTTTAAAATAGCGCTGTGTTTTTAACTTTGCTTAACGCTAACATCCAAAGGTTGGAGGTTTGTAATTTCATTTTCTTTATTTTTTATTTAATTCTTTATTATTAGTTTTTTAATTTAACATTGATGCACTGAATTGGTCATAATTGGCAGCAATAATGTTCAAAGGATTATCAAATAATGTATCATGGGGTCAATTATTTTTTATTTATCTTTTGTTTATTATTGACTAAGTTCCAGTAGTTTACTGGATGTTCTTCCACAATAAATAGACATAAACTCTGGTCAAAAGCGGTTGTTCCATATTTATTTATTTATTTATTTATTCCCAAAAGCACCCCCTAACAATAACTTAAAACGTTCAATGAGAAGCCAACCAAACTATTAAAAAAAACAAAAAACAATGGGGAAGATAAATAAATGTAAATATAAACTACACAAATTAACACATGTTCAAGCAGCCTTACCTTAATGTTAAATTATAATATAAAACAAATTATAATATTTCTATTAGACAGGATTGTATCATGTAATTTTATTATGTATTATTTTATAAGTAAACATTTGACTAAATTGTTGTTCATTGGGAAACACAACAAAGATACTTAAAAAAAACCTGCACTTTTTATTGTGTGATCAGTTTAAACTTATTTCTATATTTTGGTCTTTTATGCAAGACTTGAGCTTTCCTATGTAAAATGAGATCTATGAGACATTACTCTGTCGATGCTACCTATAAATGTACATTTTGAGAACATGCTGACATATTGTGTTTTGTTTCCCTCAAATCATTCTTGAAATTTTCTTTATTTGACCTTAAAGGTGCAGTAGGTGATCTGTCAAAATGCTCAACATCTGCATAGTATTTTTGTAAACACCCTTTCGTCAAGAGCCTCACCTCCTGAAATCACAAACGTGTTGCGTAAAGATTCCAATAGATCATGTCATTTGCCGGTTAGAAAACTTTACAGTACTTTATAATACTACAATTCCAAACGAAAAGCTCTAATATATCTACCACGTTTTCAGTTGTTTAGCAAGCAAAACATGACATAATGTGCAATATTTCATGCATGGAAGAATCGCTGGTCTAACTCTCTCATGCACTTTGTCCTAAAGCGACTACTGTATGTTTAGTGGTTGGCCAGCGGCATGCACTTAATACTAAGCCATACTTGCATGCTATTTCAGATCGAATATTCAAAGTGCCATGGTAAACAATATAGAGAGCACGTCACAGGTTGTCATTGTTCAAAAATTAACCATTGTGAATATAAGAATAGTGCTATTTACTATATGTTTTGTTGTTAAACTAAATTAAAATCTACATTATCGATGCTGTAAAAGGTCCCTTTTAAAATTTAAATTAGTCCCATCAATGTTTCGGCGGAAGATTTCAGTGGCTGAACAACACGTGCATATAACTCATTCATAAACAACATCTACAAAAGCTTTATGTGACAAAAATGGTTTTAAAACATAACGTTATTTGTCTGAAATACTTCAGCCATGGTGTCATCCTTACTTCAGCATGCATAAGTAACTGTGAAATTAATTCAGGATTTTAAAGTTTTGATTCAGCATTTGTTTTTACTGCTGTTGCTCTCTCGTGTTCACATGAATGTGGCGCGCGTCCATTCGCAAACGCACAAACGTTGAATCTGCGTGAAAAATCTACATTTATTGACAGAGTTTGGGCTACTTATCAGAATTATGGGAATTGTCAGCCTGACAATTTTTAATTGAATGAACATTTCTGTCTTATCCTTTACCCAGCATCTAAAAATACATATAAATACACTTAGATCATTTACTTGAATTATTATATTGTAATGTGAAGAGACTTTCAACCAGCACAACAAAATATGTTTCTGAATCATCTACTGCACATTTAAATATAGCAGTTTAAGTAAAAAAAGATCCAAAAGCTTGTATTATAGATGCATCTTTGTCCAATTCATTTGTTTAAATGAGGGAGAAATAGATGCTGGAGCCATCACAAATGACGCTTGTATTCTTAATCAGGTCAACCTTTGATTAAGATGAAATATCAATATATCAACCAAAGATAACTGATATATTACCTATAATAAATGAGCGATCAACGACTATTTGTTGTTGGAATTATGAAGGTTGATTCTGTTTTAGTTTTCTAACTTGCATTTTATTTAAAAATGCAGCACAAAGAATAATATCACATTCATGAATATCCCTATAAATTATATCTGATATTTAATGATTCAGTGGAGGATGGAGTCTCTCCAGGCTTTCTTCGATCAACCAAACTCAATGTGTCCTGTCTTTGTTTTCTCACAGGTAAAATAAAGTATTCAGAGAGGGTTTATGATGCATGTATGGAGGCCTTTGACTGCTTGCCTCTTGCAGCTCTTCTAAATCAGCAGTTCCTCTGTGTTCATGGTGGCCTCTCGCCAGAAATTAACTGCTTAGACGACATTAGGAAAGTAAGTGTCCATTTTTGTTGTTGTTGTTGCTCTGTTTTTTTCCCTTTAAGCCTTTTTACAGCATTTTACAAGACGTGTTGATTCCTCTTTCTCTGCCTTTGCGCTATGTTGTGCAGTTAGACAGGTTTAAGGAGCCCCCGGCATTCGGGCCTATGTGTGATTTGATCTGGGCTGACCCGGGAGAGGACTACGGCAGTGAGAAGACGGCAGAGCACTTTAACCACAACTCCGTCAGAGGCTGCTCCTATTTCTTCAGGTACAACAGGAAAGGGTCATCCAGTTCATACATGTACAGTGACTTAGATTTTTTTGACAAAATAACAGCTTAATTGACACAGAATATAGCTTGACTGATTTCTATTTTTATTTACATGACAAACTTTTATTTAATTAAATGAAATATTTATAAATATTTCATATAATGATAAACAATAATAATAACAACAATAATAAAAATATAATAAATAAAATATTTAAATTGTTGTCAATATTATTTGATTACTTTAGATCTAATACTTTAGATTACATTACTTTAGATTCTAATAGTTTTAAACATGTAAAAAAAATCCAAGTTTTTGATGTTATTTTTTTATTTTATTAGTTTTTCTCTGTGCATTTTTTGTCCATTTCAAAATTAGAAAATGTTATTTTATGTGATATAATAAAAAATATTATCAAGCTGTTTTTGATGTGAACTTCATGTAGCAAATAGATATTTACATTTATAAAATATTATTATTATTATTATTATTACACTGTAAAACCCAACAGTCAACTATATTAAATGAAATGAATGTAGTTAACTCAGAATATTCTGAAAGTTAATTCTACTCAATTGAAAAGAGTTTTGAACTCAGTCTTAAAGTTGATAAGTTAATTTAATACCTCCTTACTTCAACTTAAATGGAGTAAGTTCACAGTACTCATATAGATTAGTTTAACTTGAAATGGTTTGTAGCAATCAGTTTCCTCAAACGGTTTGAGTTGCCTTTACTTATTGGGTTTTACAGTACTCAGCTGGTTTGAGTTCTCTTCATTTATTGGGTTTTACTGTGCTCAAATGGCTTTGTTTACTCAAATCTTTTAAGTTCACAGTTCTCATTAGGATTAGTTTATGAACTTAAATGGTTTGTTGCAATCCATTTTGTTAAATGGTTGGAGTTACCTTAAGCTTTTGGGTTTTACAATGTATTATTAAATTAGAATATTTATCAGCTGGGGGCGACACGGTGGCTCAGTAGTTAGTACTGTTGCCTCACAGCTATAAGTTTGCTGCTCCCCGTGTTGGCGTTGAGTACTGTTGCCTCACAGCAATAAGGTTGCTGCTCCCCGTGTTGGCGTTGAGTTTCTTTGGGTCTTCCGGTTTCTCTCGTAGTCCAAACACATGCAGTATAGGTGAATTGAACAGACTAAATTGGCTGTACCGTATTTGTGCAAATGAGCATGTATGGGTGTTTCCCAGTACTGGGGTACAGCTGGAAGGGCATCTGCTGTGTAAAACATATGCTGAATAAGTTGGCGGTTCATTCTGCTGTAGTGACCCCTGATGAGCAAAGGGACTAAGCTGAAGGAAAATGAATGACTGAATATTTATCAGCTGTTGTTGGTCTCCATTAGGCTTGGGCTGGTATAAGATTCTGACAGTATAATACCCTTGGATAAACATATAAGTTTTGTGATATTGTTATTACTTCTCTAAAATGCATTCTTTTTAAATGTCAACTTTTTATCCTTTTTAAGTTTATTTTATTTAGGAATGCACGATATATCGGCAGCCATATTGATATCAGCAGATAAATGCTGTTTGTATTGTTATGGTTATTGGTCCGAAATGGAAAATTATGCAGATGTCTTTTAAACGATAGAATATGTAATTGTACACAACTGCCTTGTGGGTTGAGCTTCCTGACATTTTTTCCTTCAAAGTCTGTCTGTCCTTTGTGTGGTATTGCGGTGCGTCAATAATAATAAATATGGTTAATAAGTAATCACATTCCTTATCATTGTAGTTATGTTTGATAGAGTGTCATTGTGTCTTTTGGTTTAAATTGTCTCGTTGGGTTGTTTGTAATCTAATATGACTATTTGTTATTATCAACGCGTTGCTTCCGTTTACTTGTTTAATTAAATCCCATTTTGTTATTTAACTTATTTTTTTGCAACAGTCAAGTTGCATGTTAATTGGCTATGCAAAAAAAAGATTTTTAGCATGCAGATTTATGTAAAATCTGAATAAAGAAATCTCCGTTTGAAATTGAGAAGGCTATTCAGTTTATAAGATCATATCAAACTTTTATAAAGTTTTAAAAATAAAATCAGTTGTTTTCTGTATAAAAATAAAACATTTTGAAATATTTATTTTGATCGGCTGATATATCGGTTATCGGCCTCCAAATCTTATACTGTAAGTTATTGGTTATTGATATCAGCCGAAAAATCCATATCGGTGCATTCCCAATTTTAATGTTATCTTCATGTAGAAAATTTATAGTTACATTTAGAAAAAAATATATTATTATTATTATTAAATTAGAATATTTGTTGTATTTATAGATTGAATGTACTCTAGTTTGGGGTAGACCTTTATTATTGCTTCTTTTTATGTTTTATAGTGTTTGCCTATTCTTTTCCCATTATTCCATATTCCTTATTCAAATGGAAATCACTGGTTTTTGAATTTTGCTTATTTTGAAATCATTTTTATGTAACATTTGGGTCAGTAATTATTTGCTAATGAGTCTTCTCATCACTTATAATAACCCAAGTATTAAATAGCTCAACACTTATTTGACGTATTTCAGAAAACTGTAGGAAAGAATCTGCTTGGAATGTTGTTCTAAAACATTTTTTTTTTCTGTGTCTTCTGTGCATTTGCTCATGTACTTGAATCATCCATGCAGGCATTTGTGAACTGGTGCGGAAATCCTTTCTGATTTATGCTGACTTCTGGAAATAACCTGATCGGTGTTTCCCAGCTGCTTTCATTCTGGGTGTATATATAAGTGTGTTTATTCACTGTTTGCTTGTCCAGCTGGCATTTGTTTGTGCCACGCCAACTGAATGCTAACAGACTGCAGGTGGTAGTCTTAGAGCTTGAGAGTTCACAGTATTGGGGCTTAATCGACTGGAAGAACCCCCCAAAAAAGTACTAAGAAGGGTCCAGTGCATTGGCTCATGCTCCATTCATTAAGTGCTTTAGAAGGGATGAAATGTCTGTCCTATCACTGTGCGATACTCAAGAATTTGTCTCTCTTTTGTTTTACAGTTATGCGGCAGTCTGTGACTTTTTGACAAACAATAACCTTTTGTCAGTAATTAGAGCGCATGAAGCACAAGATGCAGGGTAAGTATTTATTGTGTTCTTTTATTAGACTTTACTCATTTTAGCTTTCATTTTGTAATGCCAATGTATTCCCTCTGTGTCTGCCTGTTAAAAAATCGAATTCTGCCATCATTAATAACTCCCAGTATTTACAGAACTTTTTTATGCCTTTTTAAGCTGATTTCTTTACACCTTAGAAAGGCATATTTGGATGTATTTCTTTTCTTTGGATATAAATAAGCCATTTCACTGTTCAGGTCCATAGCATGCTTGGATGTTGGTGCATAAGCGATTTGTTTCTCAAATGTTTGCTGAATGGAGGCCTGACCAGTAGCTTTTAATGTGGATGGTCCATTTCTGCTGGAGATACTGTTACCCTAAAAAAAAAGTTTTTGACAACACTTAAAAAAATAAAAATAAAACGTCTATACTGCAGAAATAATGTAACTTTATTGCATGAAAACAACCTTGAAACCATTTATTTTCCCCTGCCTAATCCCCATTGACTTGCATAGTAGGGCTGCACAATATATTGTTTCAGCATTGATATTGAAATGTGTGCATTCTCAATAGTCACATTACAGGATTTGCAATGTGGAATAAGACCTGCGACACTCCAAGTTGATGCCAAACAACTAGCACAAGCAAAACCCAGATGTGTTGTCACCTTGTATTGGATCGCTTGTAAACACCTGCGCAAGAGGACGTGTTCAGCTCCGTTCAGTCTGTTTTCTTGCTCCGCTAAAGGCTGATTTGTATTTCTGCGTCAAGTGAAAGGCATTACCCACGGCTCCTGCCTTGCGCAGAGCTGTGCATTTAAACTTTTGCGGGCTGTTTGTTGCTCTGCAATAACACTTCCGAAACGCTAGCTGGCAGTAGGTATTTATGTTCCTCGGTAATGTACAAGTAGCTCAAACTCACTTATTCAGAGGCAGGAACTGGTGGACGTGCATCAACTTTAATCAAAAGGTAAACACCAAACAAAAGTCTCCATCTGGAGCTCCTTCATGAGACTCGACTCTCGCTTCAACGGGTTTGTGCGGCTCTCGGCTCCGCCTACACTCTTCAGTGCTACCAACCCGACCGATCACTGAGTTTGCGCTATGTGTCATTGCGATTTTTAGTTACATTCTTTTGAGAGGTGCGTGTCAGCGCTTGCACATGCTGAAGTGTATATCGACCTTAAGGGCCGGTACACAACTATGTCAGCTTTGTCTGTTTTTTTTCGTTCGGCAAGGGGAAATTGAACTTCCGACATGCGCAGACAAAGCATGAACAAAGCAGCATTTATTAGTAGTACTGTTACCACAGTAATTGTCACTCACCACAATAGATTAGCTTTCGCAAATATGTCTGATAATCAGATAATCCATATTATTTACAAATATTTGAGAAATGCACAGAAGTAACAGCTGGCCTCTTTGTGTCTATTTTTTTTGGCATGATTTTTTTACTTTCTGCATCACACTTGTGCTCTGATTCATTGCCGAATAACCAGTCAGAGCGCTCTCTTCAGTCAACGGCCAACATTAATTCTAGATGCTGAATCAGGATAATGAGCTATGACGTTAATTTAGCAATAGGTGACATGTGAAACACAACAAAACAGCTAGACTAACCGACGGACCAACGAAGCCCAACCAAGGGCTATAGTTGACCAGTGGGCACAGTTAAAAAAAAGTCGTGATTTATGGTTACATTTAGGAAGTGACTTTACAATGTAACCAAAAAATAATAATTTGCATGCTTTCTTTAGGCCCATGTACACACAAAAATGCAGGGTTCTACACAATTCGTTCATGTTGTCCAACACAAATTAATTAAGTTACCTTTAAGTAGATTTAAGTTGACCCACCCCCCCTCTCCCTCCAAAAAAAAGTGTTATTTTAGCTTATTTTAAATAATAGCTTGAACATAGCCAGTTTAAAGCATTCAAGCGCAATAAATTATAATTTTCGTAACTTGTAGGAAGATTAATTCCATTTATGTAAATACAATGAATGCTTTTTTATTTGACTTTAATTTATGTAGACTCCCAGATAACTATAAATCACTGTTTATTTTCCAAATAAAAAGTGCTCAGGAGTAGCTTAATTAATGTGTCCGTGCCCTTTGGGCAAGGAATTCATCAGAATAACCAGCAAAAGTAAGCCCAAGGCACCCGATGAAGGCAAGTGTTTACCAGAACACATAGGCATATTTTTGGGGAATAGCCATGTCAATAAAGGTTTTTTAATAGATATTTTTTTTCCAAATTTTTTGAATGCCTTGGACTTTTGATGTTTGCACTGTTTTTTTATTTGTTTCTTTGCTCTGCTGTATATATCAATGTTTGTTATTGGTTTATTATTGTTTCTCCATATGCTTTTTATTACAAAATGATTCCAATTACTCTAAAAACATTTTTGCCAGTTAGAGCCATTTGAGTAATCTGGAGAAATTGTACTCCATATTACAATGTGTATCGTAGATACAAAATATTACAATGTCATTTTTTTCCAATATTGTGCAGCCCTATATCATATACATTTTTTTTCTTAATATGGATGTTAATGGCTGTAAATCGATTGCCTGTTTACCAACATTCTTTTTGAAGAAATGGGTGTCAACTGAAACTGTAGATGGTCTGATCAGTATAGTGACTTTGAAAAGAACCCATTATCTGACCATAATGGAGAGCATTTCCTCTATTGATTCTTGCCAGATGCCTTTTTGACACACTGAGCTAATCTACAGCTAAAGCGTTTTGTGTGTGTTTCCGTTACAGGTACAGGATGTACAGAAAAAGTCAGACAACAGGCTTCCCTTCATTAATTACTATTTTCTCAGCACCAAATTACCTAGATGTCTATAACAACAAAGGTATGCTAGCTTTTTAAAAAAAAATTTCTTGTAACTGACAATAAACTGACACTAAACATATATTAACATTAACATTAAATGTAATTAACACATAAATCTTGTAACATTAACTTTTTAAATAGACATTAACTAATTTTAGTAAAGTTTTAAAATCATTTCTTTTTTTCTTCTTTTTTACACCAAGTTACATTGTGTCATGCAAAACAAACCAACAAAAAGATCAGTTTATTTGCCGTGTCACATTTTATAATTCTGTCATCAACACCAATCTAAAAACAAAACAAAACAGGAAATAACAAAACCCTTTAATAACACTTGGGAAACCACTGAGTACCACTCAGTTTTTTTCCCCATTAAAGAGTGTTAATAATTTATGATTAGCTTCTGGTTTTATTTTTATTGTTTGAGTGCTAATTTGAAACGCTGGAGAATAAAATAAATCACCAATCATACGAAGATAAAATATGCCCTACAACAAACTGTAATAGCTGCCATATTGAGTCTAATTTGTCTAGACATCTACAGCTACAAAGTATCAGATGACTGTTTGTAAACCTGCATGGCACCCTATCAAGTTGCTTGATTTTCTTTTGTTTTCTTTTTCTTTTGACTGAGAACATTCATGAACGTACATAATAGCTTGTCTTTGTTTTTTCCTTCTCAGCGGCTGTGTTAAAATATGAAAACAACGTCATGAACATTAGACAGTTCAACTGCTCTCCTCACCCGTACTGGTTGCCCAACTTCATGGATGTGTTTACATGGTCATTACCGTTTGTGGGCGAGAAAGGTAAGTGTCCAGACTGTGAATCTATTTGACAGAGCATTTGGAAGAGAGGCTAGAATGACCTTGTTGGTGGCTTGTCTTTGGTAGCTGACTGTGTCCTCTCAGTGGGAAGAATGCAGAGAGAAAGAGCCCTGAAACGTCATATTAACGTCATAAAATGTGTGCCAGCACGTTCAAGGGCATCATTTATAAAATCATCTGAGACTTCCTAAGTTTTTCAGTTTAATTTTTAAAGTCTTTGTGTACATTGTTTCATACAGCTTCATAACGTAGAAGTTGAGTTCGTATTTTAAAAAGAAGCAAATGGATTTACTGGATGTATTTTCCAAGAATGCTCTTTGTCTACAGTGACTGAGATGTTGGTGAATGTCCTGAATATCTGTTCTGATGATGAACTCATGTCAGAGGGAGATGACTTGTGCGAAGGTGAGGAGGTTTTCTTGTTTATGCACTCTGCAAATGCGTTTATCCAAAGAAATTAACATTGTCTTGAAGTTACACTTTTTATCTGTTGATATGCAAGACAGGGGTGGAAATTTATGCCCAACTAATTCAATGTAAGATGCTATAATACCCCTCCACAATTCAAATAACTCACTGTAATCCGTGTTTAAGATCTTTATTGATACGAGAGCAATCAATAAAAAAAATAAATAAAATTAGGTAGAATATTCACATTTAATATAGTTTATATACTTTATTGTTCAGTAGTAGGCTACTTACGGTATTTTATGCAGTTGTTGTGTAATGCATGAATGCCACATTTGAGCAACATTAAAGTGCATCTATTATGTATTATAAAAGGCTCTTATTTTGGTTTTGTGAGTCCCCAACAACAGGCTTGTATGCATGCAAGATCAAAAAACACATTCATTGTCTTTTAATATGCATTTATTCATTCATTCATTCATTTGTTTTCTTTTTGGCTTAGTCTCTTTATTTATCAGGGGTCGCCACAGCAGAATGAACCACAAACTTATCCAGCATATGTTTTACGCAACGAATGCCCTTCCAGCTGCAACTCATCACTGGAAAACATCCATGCACACTTATTCACAAACTTACACTATGGACAGTTTAGCCTTCTGAATTCACTGATACTACATGTCTAAACCGGAGCTCCCAGAGGAAAGCTACACGAACACGGGGAGAACATGCAACTCCACACAGAAATGCCAAACAACCTAGCCAAGGCTCAAACCTTGCTGTGAGGCGATCGTGCTATCCACTGCGCCACCGTGACCCCCAATATGCATTTACCTCTACCTGATTATCCTAACTAATCCCATATGTCTTGTTTACTGGTTAATTTTTCCGAACACCTCCTTTGCATGATGCTAATATGCAGTGATTGGTCCAATGACCCAGTCTGTTGTAATTTGGTCTACTGCATGCAGTGTGTCTGAAGCGGAACACACGTCACCATTACTGGAGTATAGCTTATCAAATGTTGAAAGCTGTGGTTGAAACTAGAAGCTGTGGTCTACATAAGAGCCCAATGCAGGAGTGTATTGAAAAAGCACTGCAGATTAGTGTTGTCACGATACTCCAATCAGTACTGGAATTTCAAATCAGCAATTTGATATTGTGTTCCCTGCTCAACAGAAAGAACTGTGATTGGATATAAAGGTCATCGGTTTACTGCTCTTTACCACTGTTTATCGAGTGCAAACATGAATGACAGGGACACTGGGGTGTTTTATTGTCATGAAGATCAGTCGATTCATCAATGAATCACTCGTATATCAGCACATAAACAGATCAGCCGATCTTCGAAATTCGGTATCGTGATAATAGTACTGCAGATTATACACCAGCATATTGCTCTATTCTTCATCATAACTCCAAGTAATAACTATGATAAACTGTCAGTGGTAATTGATGCATATCTGCATTAGCTTTTGATGGGTGTGGCTCAAGCCATTGAAATGAATGGGTTTCATTGCGCAGAGTTTTCCGTGTCTGGCATGAAAGCCGCTTTAGTTTTTTAAGTTGTGAGAAGCCAACTCAACACACATACAGCTAAATGCTTATTTTGTGTGCTGCAGAGACCAAGGTGGCAACTATTTTTTTCAGAATTTCAGGTTGTGGTTTAAGAAAAGAAGCTCACAGTGCAGAGCACAGCAGCTTCACTACACGATGCAATCTGATCTGGGTCATTGGACCAATCACTGCATATTACCTCCTCACTTAAAGGAGGTGTTTGGAAAATTTAATCAGTAAGCAAATCATATGGGAGTAGTTTGGATAATTAGGTAAAGGTAAACGCATTTTGGGCGTCACGGTGGCGCAGTACGTAGCACGATCGCCTCACAGCAAGAAGGTCGCTGGTTCAAGCCTCAGTTGGGTCAGTTGGCATTTCTGTGTGGAGTTTGCATGTTCACTAAGTTTCCTCTGGGTGCTCCGGTTTCCCCCACAAGATCAAAGACGTGGTACAGGTGAATATACAGACAAGCAGATCTTCAAAATTCAGTACCATGACAACACTACTGCAGATTGTACACCAGCATATTGCACTATTCATCATCATAACTCCAATTAATAACCACGATAAACTGTCAGTGGTAATTAATACATTTCTGCGCAAGCTTGTGTTGGGCCTTTGAAATGAATGGGTTTCATAGCGCAGAGTTTTCCATGTCTGGCATGAAAGCTGTTTTAGATTTTTAAGTTGTGAGAAGCTGACTTAACACACATACAGCTAAATGCATATTTTGTGTGCTGCAGAGACCAGGGTGGCAACCATTTTGTCACACTTCTAGGTTGAAGTAATTAAAGAAGCTCTAGGTGCAGAGCACAGCAGTTTCACTACATGATGCAATCTGATCCCACGGAATCCACTATAGTGTTTCAGGGATAGGGGTTTCAGGTTTTCCTGGGTCTGCACGCAACATGTGGCTGGGCAATTTTTTCTTCGTTGTCATGACAGAAAAAGCTAAAGGTCCTTTTGAATATTGACTGTAAAGGACTCTGAATTGGCTCTTTTTGTTGAAGAGAGAATAAAACTTTATACATGGTGCACTTTCTAACTTTAACACTTAGCTGGATGATTTCATTCACTCAGAGCTGTGTTACACGCGGCATGAAAGTAAATTTAAATCCATAATAGGGGCAGTTTAACAGTCAAAAGGTAATCGATAACAGTTTGAAGGTACTGGATTAATTTGTGGATTTGGCACAGATACATTTAATCAGTTTAAAAATTCAATTTAAATGAACACATAATATACAATAAAGACTTCATTAAAGTTTGGTGAGCTGACAACTGCCTTATGTGCTGATTTCCTCTTGCTTCACATTTGGTGACATAATTTAATGCAGAACAGCTTGAATGTGCTTGAGCATGTGTGAGCATGTGCTTGTGTGTGAGCGTCTGTCTGTCTGGTCATCATTCATGTAGACAGCAGGTCTTCAAAAGTGTCCAACTGTCATTCATGCTGTCTGAGTTGCTCTCCCCGGAGGTCTGATGCCTGCTTAGGCCTTCCCACAATGCTTCCTGCTTAGGCAGCCTGTTGTAGAGAGTAGAACTCCTATGTATAAGCTGTGAAATATTATCACAGTTTGTAGGAACATTTTCTGGTTTGCATAGACACGCATACTTATACTTATGTAGGATTGTAATGTCACCTTGTGTCATTAGTGAACCGGAAATGGATTTGCTTAAGTAACTAGAGCAAAGGCGTGACGCTATTCTGCAAATACTCCCTAGGCCACTGAAGGCTAATAGTACAGTTAGATTATGGCATGCACTGCAAAACAACATAGGTTCACTTTTGTTTGCTCTGTTGAATCAATCCAAACTTTTTTGAGTAATACAGTTATCTAGTAAATAAATGAACAAATATGTGACAACCCAATGTCTCAGTGTTTGGAATGAGTAATTAAATTTTATATCAAACTACACTATAAATTTTATGCCAAAAAAGCTATTATTATCATTAATAATAATAATAGTACATAATGCATAAATAAATGTTTTAACAAGAAAATTTAGCACAAATAAAGTGATATTTTCTATGATATAGACTATAGATGCCCAAAACCTTAAATTTGGTAACCTTTAATTTGGCCCGCCATCTCATCTGAGAAGAAAGGGAGAATGTTGGGATGGTTTCAAGAGTGTCAATTCAAATTATTTATTTGTCTGTTTGTTTTATTGTTAGAAGCTAACCAAAAGAATGTTTCAGTGAAATGGTGTAAATGAATCAGATTTTGTTGAAATGTACATACTGTCATACTGCACATACTGATAAACCTGCTTGACTAACATATTCAGCATTGAACTTATCAATGTTCTAAATGTGATTATGTTTTTAATGCAATGAGTTGTTTAAGAAGTTATACTGCATAGGGCTGTGTGATTAATCAGAATCTAATCGCAGTCGTGATTTGAAACGTTGCGATTAGCTAATCACAAGAGGCTGCGACATGAAATATATCTGTATTTAATTTCCCCCTCCCAGAGCAAATGCCGTAAATTGCCTTCTGACAGTCTTACTAGCCAACTGAGTGAGCACACTTTCATTCTGCCCAATCAGAAACGCACAACCGAACTATGCGGAAGGCTCACAATAAAACAAACTAACAGGAAAGCATGGACGAGTGCGGGATGATGACATTTGCTGCTTCTGAAGCATTAATAGACAAATTAATATCAAAGAAAAATAGGACATCGGTAATATGGGAATATTTTGATTTCAAAGTCACAGACAATGAACAAAAACAGGATATTTGTAAGAATTGATGCCACAGCAGGAGGAAATACAACAAACAGCACCTAAAAAAGCACCACAGATGGCCATATGAGGAGTGCCCTGCTATGAAACTGAAACTAAATCGCAATTAGTATAGCAAGCAGACAACTGTAGGGTAAAGTACAACTTCAGAGCAACATTTGCTGAGTGTTCTGTATCTTTATAATTACTATTTTTTGTTTGTATAATAAGCTACACTATCTTCCTAATTTGAGTTCAGTTAGTTTAGAGAAAGGTAAGGTCATTTTATTTGTTTACCGTTTTCTCTAGAGAAAAGTTAGTGTTTCCTTTCTGAATATTTAAAAACAAATTTGAATAAACGTTTAAGTAAGTTAGTTGTTAGTTTTTAAACTAATCTTAAAGCAGTAAGAAGCTACAGATTATTGAGATGCAGCTTGACTACAAAATTAAATCGCAAATCAAATCAAAATCGCAGTATTTGTCAAAATCAAATCAAAATTTGCAATTTTAGATATTTTCCCCAAACCGCACAGCCCTAATACTGCATTAGTTAATACCATTTAAAGTAAGGTTTTCTATTTATTTTGAATTATAATAAAAAAACTTGCCAATTACAAAGCCATGGCAACTTTAATGTAATATACTGTAGTTTGGTATATTTACCTTCAGCCCAAGGCTGTCAATAATGATTGGTTTTTGGCACTTCATACAAAAAAGTTTGGGTAGACTAACATAGACACAATGATGCAGTATACACTTAAATGTCATAGATTAAAATATGATCATTATCAGGCTGTTTAAATGACAAAATGTATGTTCTTACACATATTTGCGGATCAGAATATAAAATATTTCATAACATAATTAGAATGTTGGGAATTGGGACAAAACAAAACATGACACATACATAAATCATCAGGGCTGTGGTGTGCCACATGATGAACTTGTCACCATGGAAACTTTAAAGCGATGTGTTCTAATTAGCAGTCATATTAAAAAAGCGAACAGAAGGGGGGCTTAGCAAGAGTATTGAAACTTGCATGTGAAAGGGTTAAATAATAAACTACATATTGAAAGTTGGAATATCTTATTTAAATTCGGATATACCTGCTCGTTGTTACAAATAACAGAAATCATGCAGTCTTATTTTTAGCATCTAGACACTGGTTTCCCCTTTTCTATCTTGTTTGTGGGTCAAAGTTCTTTTGAGGTGGTGGTGTTTTGATGCTGGATTTGTGTTTCCGCAGGTGGGGCTCCTGCTGTTCGTAAGGAGGTGATCAGAAATAAGATCCGTGCCATTGGGAAGATGGCTAGAGTCTTTTCTGTGCTCAGGTCAGTCTGCACACAATTATGTGCATTTAATTAAATATTCAGCATGATGCCTGGGGGATAATTACAGTTATCAAAAAAAAAAAAAAAAAAACATATCCTGTATATAGAACAGGATACACTTCCTCATACAATGAAGTTTTGTTTTATGCCACACACTCACACAGTTTTCTCAGTTAGGATTAATGAGATGGTGTCAGTGAGTCATCATGCGGAATAGCAGCCTAATTATATTAGACATTATTGCAGACGAACAATGCCATAGATAATGGGGGAACAGAGGACATTTTCAAGTCTTTTGTCTTTGCTTTTTAGAACAATATTCACATTAGGCTGGCAACAGTTTCACAATTATCATATATTTTCTCGTTCTTCCTCACCTTGTGCTAATTGACTAAGTCGTTTACACTACTAATCAAACTTTTAGGATCTGGTCATTTTTAAAGCATATTCTGCTCACCAAGGCTGCATATACAGTGCTTAGCATAATTGAGTACAATCCATTTTGAAAATGAAAATTTTTATCCAATTCTCAGTGAATTTAGCCAATGTATTTTGGTTCATTTAAAGAAAACAAATTTACTACACAGATTTATTAACATAATATTTTGTCACCAAACATATTTAGAAATTGAAAGATAATACAATGAAATTTAAGTAAAATATATAAAAAAAATACAACCTGCAAAATTTTAGCAATTTTTTTTCCAATTTTGTTTCTCTTGATTTTTCCTCTTGTTTTTGTTTGTATTTAATATTTTTCTATAACATATACATTTTAGTTAATATACATTTTTTTGGATGGTTATCATCAGTTATTTTGTTAAATAAACTCCAGATCTGGCTTCAGCACTGACTAATCTAATATATATGCACAAATATAATATTGTATAGCTTCCTATTAAAAATATGAATTTAAAAGACAGATTTGTGAGGGGTGTACTTGTATATGCTGAGCACTGTATTTGTGAAATAAAATTACAATGTAAAATGTTGAATGAATCTTAAAAAAATAAGTAAATGCATGTACTTTATAAATTGAAGACAACATTAACTGTTCAAGAGTGAAACTAGGCATGTATAATAAAAACGAAAGGATTTAGGTCAAAGCTGTTATTTTGGAGTTTATTTTCATTAAAGAATCTTTAAAAATAGAAACGTTTTAGTTTCCACAAAAGAAGTCTCAACTTTGATAATTATTAAAGTCATCATAATGACTATGTAAATAAAGCACCAGTAATAATTGAGCATAAAAGAACACCCAATCAGCATATTATGATTTCTGAAGAATAATTTGACATTGACCATGTTTACTTGGACATCAATAATCAAATGATTTGCCTTGACCTGAACGAGGAAATGTGATTAAGGTGTTTACATGAGTGCATAGATCGATTAAAGTCATTGCGTTACCATGCTATCCTTGTTTCCTCTGGAGTTTCATGTAATTTTGGGTATTTCATTGTTATCTGGTCGACTTTAACTGCAGTTCAGCAGTTTCACTTTCATTCAGGAACATTTCATTCATGCCCCCGTGACAAACTGACATATTGGATGCGAGTATGAAGTAAGGACTGATGTTGTAGTAGAATTTGATACAGCACGTCAAATGGAAAAAAAGTAAACTCCACATTTCACGATATGTGTGTCTGTGGTACATTACTGACTCAGTAGGTGCAAAGAATTATGTCAAACAGCCGTGGAACTCTGCGAAAAGTTCTACATGACAGTAATAGTTTGATTGCAGTGTTTACATGTCTTTACTGCACTTCAATAATGCGACTAAAATCGGCATACTCCACATCTCTTAATTCTATTTCTGTTTAGTTCAATTATGACTTTAGTCAGATCAAGGTAATCAAAAATTGCTTTTTACATTGTAATCTTCATCAGAGTGTTGTCTTGATGAAATTAAATATATATTTATAAAGTATTGGTGTCCATGTACTCACTGGAGATAGTAGTAATGATGCCGGAATTCCCCCAAATGCACCAATTTTGACCGCTAGCTCTATAAACACAACACTAATATGGTATGTATGCATGTCTGTTTGTATGTATGTGTATGTGTGTGTGTGGTATATATGAATGTATGTGTGTTGTGCTTCAGGGAAGAAAGTGAGAGTGTACTGACCCTCAAAGGGCTCACCCCAACCGGAACGCTACCTCTAGGAGTGCTGTCTGGAGGCAAGCAGACCCTACAGAATGGTAAGTGTTTGTGCTTTTGTTATAGGAGACAAGTCAGGTGTGTTTTCAGGAGGCTTCTCACATCCAACCTGGATGTTGCTCTAGATCTTCACCACCTCACATGACCCTCATCACTGTCATACTGAAGCAGAAAACAGCAGCATGCAGGAGCTAGAATGAGCTTTGACATGTGAGATAATGATGATGATGATGATGATGATGATGATGATGATGATAGCCTGTTTCTCCAGCAGCAAATTCTGATGAAGACTGTGCTCTTCATCTGCCTTGAGTGGATTTTTCTGGGCTGCACTTTATGCTTAAATCACTTATTAGCAACTGTACAATACACACACCACTTGTCAGTCAGATTCATGTTGGTGGTAAATCTCATGAAAATGGGGTAATTATGTTAAATAAAAGCCTAAAATCAGAAGAGTTCAGGAGTGTCCAAACTCGCTCCTGGAGGGCCGATGTCCTGCATCTTCCTTCAACACACTTGCTCGGAAGTTTTAGTATACCTAGAAAAAGCTTGATTAGCTGGTTCAGGTGTGTTTATTTGGGGTTGGAACTGAAATATGCTGAACTCCGGCCCTTCTGGACTGAGTTTGGGCACCCCTGTTCTAGTTGAAGGAAATTTGGCCAGTTCGAGGAATAAAAGTTTTGCGTTAAGACATTGGGTCTCATTCACTAATAGTTAAGTACGTTTTTATATTTTTGTTAGGCTGCATATACACTGCAGTTCTTCATGGTCAATTCCGATTTTGTGGCTGTATTATATATATATATATATATATATATATATATATATATATATATATATATATATATATATATTTGTTTATTAATTAATTAATTATTATTTTTTATGACCAGCTTACATCATCTTTTAAAAGGGACCTGTATCCGATAGCCTGCATTTACACATCAACGGCAAAGGCGCAATGACCCCCAAAAATAAAATTGCGGGCGCAAACTGACAGCTGATTATAAAAAGCGCTCGTTTCTCCATTCCTGTATTTAATTTTTTTTTTTTTTTTATTCTTTTTGACATATTGTTTTACTTTTCTTTTTTTTTTTTTTGGCCGAAAAGTTCTCATTTTACCATCTTCTTTAAATTTAGGCCTTTTTAAACATGTAGGCATCATAATGCTCATGGCGTGATTTATGTGCAGCAGGTTTATATTAGTTTATATTGGCTACGTGGCTCTCTCTGTCTTTCATTGACTTCATTGACAGGTGAAAATCCGATTTACCTGCTTACACTGCAGACACACGGGCACAGATATGATTCAAACTGGATAAATTTCCACATATGAAGGCCTAAATCTGATTTGAGTAAATCAGAATTGAGTCACTTAAACCATGCAGTGTAAATGCAGCCTTAGTTATTTGCATTATACATGCCCAAATCAGCTAATTTGCCCCTTTCTGCTAGCATTATCATAATGTGAAATACGTTTTTCTTTTTATTCTTTGATTAAAGCATACAAGATATAGTTAGGAAGCAGATAAATCAGTGGGTAGATGGACGGATGAATAGATTGATTTGATTTAGGGAAATAACTTTTATGCTCATCAAAACTTATCATAAATCATTAATAAAGAAATAAAAACAGTATTAAATGGTATTACAATTTAAAATAGTTTTCCATTTTAATATATTTTGTACTCTAACTTAACTTACTACTTAAACGTACTTCTGTAACACTTTTTAGTGTTAGTAATGTAGTTACTATCATGAAAAAAAAACATTGTTTATTACAATATTTATTCAGCTTTGTAAGCATTCATTTATGAATATATAGTTCATTGGTGGTTCATATTGAGTCACGGTGAGGATTAACTGATGTTAACAAACATCACTTTGGATTTCAATAATGCATTAGTAAATGTTGAACTATGATTAAGTAATTCTGTACAAGTATAGTTTGTTATCCTTTCATGTTTGTAAATGTATTAACCAATATTAACTAATGAAACCTTATTGTAAAGTGTAACCTATACAATTAAATCATGCATTCATTTTAGTTCACCTTGATTTTAGCATTAACAATTATTAGTCATAATACACATTTATTTAATGGGACTAAGCTAATATGAACAGTTGAGCTGCTGCATGTTTATTAACAGACATCAACAAATATTAATAAAAACTGTAGCAGATGCATTGCTCATTATTATTTCATTGACTTTTGGTAACTACTAGACCTTAAGCCGTGGTCACACTGCTATTTTTTCGCCGCGCAGACTTCCATTCATATGCAAGCAAATGCGGCAGACCGGAAACGCAATCTTGTGTGACAGGTGTCACATGTCGATGTGGTGCAAAGTTCAAGCATGGTGAACTCTGAACTCTGACCAACAGATCAAAATATGTGACCTCCCTGTATATAAACGTCAAATATGGAACAATCGTTTACTTTATCGATGTCCAGTTATCTTGTTTTCTTGGCTTCATCGTAAAGTGTTAGCAAAACGTCTTCCTGACCTCAAACTTTTTTCTTTATTTTGACATTACCTTAAGAACAATTGGCATATCCATTGATTGATGTGATGAAAAGTGGTTTATTTTCACAGAAATCATAAAGAAAAAACTTAATGATTTTTAAAAATAGGCCTTCATTTTCTTTCAATAAAAAACATATTATCATCATCATCATCTCAATAATACAAACATCACATTAGAGCTTATTTTCAAGCTCTGTGAACACCTGTTCCATCCTGCTGTCCACACATGAACTAATGCAATGTTTACACTGCCTATTTGCCTGTTTGCTGTACAAATCCCTGCCCTTGTAGGCTCCCATTCAGCCATGCGATAGAGCACCTGCACCACCCAGAAGCTGCATCACGACTGACCTGTCCAGCACTAAAGGCCATTAAAGGCCAATAGAGCAGGAAACCAATGAGTAGTGATGGAGCGAGGGGAGGGGGGGGGATCAGAGGCAGACTGTGGGTGGATGTCACTGTTTGAAGTACATCTAGAAAATCCAGTGACCTTTAAGAGGCCCGATTCATTGTCTGCGCGGGTCAGACGTCAAGCCAGTTGTGCCCGCAAAACAGAGAGGAATATCAAAGAAACTGTTAGCCTGTGCTTCAGACGGGGATGTAGGGCAATATTAGGGTAGGGTATTATTTCTGTGAATATATATATATATATATATATATATATATATATATATATATATATATATATATATATACTGAATATATATAATCTGAGAAAGTTATGATAGTAGATGCTGGTTGATTTGCTGTATGACTGCCAGCTTCTTACATAGGTTGATAGATCTGGTTAGATTCGTTTTTAATGGATTACTCTTTCTGAATGATCTTAAAAACTACCAACTACTATTCATTATATATTAATAATAATGCAATGTTTAATTTAGTAGTGAAAATTAATCCTTAACAAAGCGTGAAAATATAGTTGTGTAGCACATTATATAAGCGAAGAAGGCAGCGTTTGTTACTGTACTCATAAACTGCTTAATAATGTTGATTAATGTTCAGTTAACATTTAATAAATGATGGACTAACTATTTGCACACTAGGCATGGAACTGAATAAGTTTCTGATGGTATGATAGCCCTGGATAAAAATATTATATTAGTTTCACAGTGTAACGGAATTGTGATTAATGCTCAAAAATATATTCTTTTTTTTAATGTCTGGATAAAAAACAAGTTTCCCCTCATTATATTTTAGAAAACTCTAATATTTTAGAATTGTAAACATGTCCGGCTAAATAATAATAATAAAAAAAAAATCATTGACTTCTACTGTCTTCATTAGTTTCAAAAACACAGATTTCTTTAGAACACATTTAAAAAAAAAATTTACATATACCGCAGGAACGATATAGCAGAACATTTTAGTGATTTTAAAACCTTGACATTTCCAAACCACAGTAAACCTTGAAACCGGTAATCGTCCCATGCCTATTTCACATGTGCAATAAATAGTTCATTGGTCATTTTTAAACTAAGCTGTAATTTCTTTCCTCGCTATCATAAAAATGAAAATAGGATTAATTTAAAAATGCTTCTTTTATAAAGATAATTAAGATATTTATAAACCATTTTGTCAAAAAGTTCAACCTTATAAACCCTCTTCCATTCTTTTCAATGATAGTTTGTGTAATTGTGTGATGGCTTTATATTTAGATTATTAAATAATTGATTGAGTTAAATATATATTCACTATTCTCTCTGATTTGAGTGTGCATCCAGTGTCGTTATTTCTCAAAATCAAATTCAACTCGAATACATGTGATCTAATCCTAATATAAAAGAAAAAGAGAAATGGCAGATTTTGCACCTAGGTTACAACAATATGCATTAATTTGTGTAGCTTATTGTATATTTTTAGTGAATTCAGATATTCATATTATATTGTTAAATATTTATTTTTAAAAACAAAAACAGCGAGAAATCATTTTGTATTATTTGTCCCCCCAAAAAAAATAATTAAAAAAGAATAAATATTCATACCAAGCAAGAGATTTTGTTCTGTTTGTTACCAAATACTACAATAATCATGACAAATTAATCATGACATACAGTTCAAAAAGCCAAACAGGACAGATGCGCATCATGTTCTTGTTGAAATTGTTTGTGAGAGAGTGATCTGATGCTTGCTATTGACACCGGAGTCTGAATTTACTCAGTGGTTTATTTGATGGTGATCTAGTCCACTCAACCGCTATGCACATAATGAATGAGTGAATGCTTTCAGACACCGCGTCTGATTCTAATGAACTAACTGCTCTTTTTCTCTCCCTGACTTATATGTGCTCTGTTTTTCTACTGTAAATTCTTTAACTTGGTGGGGGTTTTCAATCTTTTAGATGCCACAGACCCTCACATATGACCATTCATGATCAAGTGACCCCATCCTAAAATGTAAAAGGCATCATTATGTTTTTTTTTTTTTTTAAGAAGAGTCTTATTTATACTGCAAAAAATAATTTAAATTGGGTCTAAAAAGCATTTGCACTACAAGTTACATCAATATATTTTAAAAAAATAATCACAGTATTGAATTTATTTACTTATTTGTTATCAAAAGCTTTTATTTGTTTGTTTATCCTATTTGGTTGATTAATTTTATTAAAATGTTTGATTATTTCATGTATTTTATAAGTGTTACTTATTGATCGATTGATTGCTTTTTCTCCAAAGATTTCCACTGAACCCCCCAGCACTGCCTTGCAGCCCCTTGGGGGTCCCTAATCCCCCCAGTTTGAAAACCCCTTGCTTTGACTACTAATATTAATGCATTGCTATGGTGTATGGGTTAATATGCATGCAAAGTAATGTAATGACACTGATATAACTTGTCTCTCCGTTCATTTTGGGCTACTTCCTGCTGTGCTTGCTAATACAGCCACCATAGAAGCAAAGGAGGGTCGAGGTATGCCTGCAGCAACGTTGTGTCAAATCCTGCTCATATCAGCTGTGCTCTTCACCCCTGTCTTGCTGTTCACCTCAGTGTGTGTGTGTGTGTGTGTGTGTCTGACTAATCATGGAAAATCTGTATTCTTGCACCACCTTTTTTTTTGTGAGATTGTAATTGAAACCAGCCTCACACATATTATTTCTTTCCCTGATTTTTTTGTTTGTATTTTTTTTTTATAAATAACCCTAAAATGGCCCCAGAACTGCATTTTTAAAGTCCTCCTGAAATCAAAGTTAGTTTTGGGAAGTTGGTGGTATTAATCCTAGTCTGAAGGTTATCAATAAGCTGTTGTGCTCCTGCATGGTAACAAAATTCATATTTCAGATTTGTGTGTTCAAAACCATTAATAGGAATTAACATTTTTATGACATATCATTGTGTTTAATTTTTCTGACCAATAAAATGCTCTTTAGTATCTAAAGTATTCACTTCCCTATAATGTGATCGCTTATTCAAATGCATTACTAATACTGTGGTTGTTATGTGCCTTATGCACTTTAGCTCACCGACTCTGACTGGCTAAGCTGTGATGTTAGCAAAATGCTATTGACTATTTTTTAAAAGGGGAGGGGCTACTCTTGCTGCATGCCAATTCACATACTATCCATGCAAGTATTTGATAACAGAATTAGTTAGGCATACGATTCAATTGGAGGTGCAGATGTGAGTAAGAAGTGTTTCCAAGCTATAAACATGGCAGAAACATGAGGCTGACAGTCAAGTGCAAAGTCTTTGAATAGATGTTTGAATGATTGTTAATTAATATCTGACCTACTGGAAAATATTTGTTTATGTTTTCATCTGCAACTACGTGAACCTTTTATTAAGTCCTGTATGGTCATTAACGTTTGAATGCATAATTATGCTAACACCTGAGGAGATTTCTCTGCATGAAAGAAAAGCGAATGGCAGATTAACCTGCTGTGGCTTCTTCAGTATGGTAGGAAATGAAAGTTTATGTGAAATCAGGATTTACTATGTTTATTTTGCTAGCGCACATTTGCTGTTTCCACCCAAAAATGTGAACTACATTTACGAGCAAAACTGGAATATTGCATAAAAGACATGCGAATAAAGCGGTGTTCCCAGCAAGCATTTTTGTTTCTAAAAGATGTCTAATAGATAGGCCAATAGGCCAAAACTAGACTAGTCATCAAATAAACAGACATGAATGACTACACATATAAAGTCTGTCTATTTGACCACTAGTCTAGTTTTAGGCTATTCTTATATGTCTATTAGATTTTCACTGACTATTGATGTCAGTTTGATGCTTCAGACACAAAATTCTTAACCACGCCCCTCTTATCCTTAGTTTTCTACAAGTGAATGATGTGTACAAAGAAAACCCCGCCCCCTACTCAGTATTAAGTTTCCGTTGAAAGTACATCAACATACAACAACAAAGTCCTAGCAACCTCTGGTTCATACTGATTTTAACATAAACCAAAAGCTCCAACCATATTTTTTTCATATTGTGACGCAGCTCCTAGAGCAGTGGTGCTCAACCCTCTTCCTGAAGATCGACCTTCCTGCAAGGTTCAGCTCCAACCCTGATCAAACACACCTAAAGCAATTAATTAGGTTCTGAATAGCACTTGAAAATTACAGGCAGGTGTGTTTGAAATGGGTTGCAACTGAAATCTGCAGGAAGGTCGATCGCCAGGAACAGGCTTGGTCACGCCTGTCCTAGAGTAATATTAAATGAGCAAACAGTGGGCGTGGCGCGTAGTTTTTCTACTGCGAGCCGATTAGATGTAGTAAATTTGGTGTTTTATTTAGAAAGCTGGGGAAAAGGGTTTTAGAAGTGTTCTTACAACCTAACAGACTCCTCCTTCTCACCATTTCTGTGTGTGGTCAAAATGGACCGTTGGAGTGGCATGGTTATGTAGGTTAACCAAAACCAAATACCTAGGACGTGTAATCTGACAATTTAACTGAAAAAAGGTTGTTGCTAGATCAGATATGGTTGTGGCCCAAAGTTAACTAGAATTATTTATTAAGTGGTACCGAGTATCATTTATTTATTAAATTACCTAGTAAATTGTATATTATTAACACCTATTTCCACCCCAACAGTCATAGTAATGTAAAAATAGTAATTAATTTTATACAGTGTTACGAAAATAATGCTATTGCCCTTATTCTTCAACGCGGAATTGTGCTAATTTCTGCGATTGTTTTAGAACTTCCGATTCAGTTGACTAGGAATAGTAAACGACAGAAAAATAGTTAATTGCAGAAACAGCACTACTTGCTCTACAAACTAGTGTTTCCATGATTACACAAACAGCAGAATCATTTAATAAGAACATGTCAGTTTGCGACATCAAGCAGCATAACAAGCTGTTTTTAACGTTTAAAAATCAATAGAAGTTAATGAGACTGGAAGTCACGAGCCAAAAAGATTTATACACAAAGAATAAGGTGAATATCGATGTACGGATCCAAAGCTGTATCGTATATAGACTTTACCCGGGAAAAAAACAGCAAGTGCATTTTTATATTTCAATCAAAAATTACTAAGGGAAACATTTTTTTGTTGTTGTTGTTCACCACAAAACTAGCAATCTGAGCTAACAAAATCACATAGTTAGTTTTGATTTAATTTGTATTTTAAGTAAAAAAAAAAATTATGTACTTTTAGTCAAGATATACAAATAAACTTAATGAAAAGATAATAAATAAAATGAATATGAAATAAAATGAAAAGATGACTAAGGCACACAAGTTTGTTAAGGAGGTAGTACATTCCAAAGTTTGCTTAGTCTTGTTACACACTAAGAAGTATACTTTTTTTTAATCAAAGAAGTACATACTTTTAAGGCCTATTAGTAGGTGAATTGGGACACTGCATTTAAATCCCACCTGTTCTTTATGTTTTAATGTACATTAAAAAGTTGTGCATTTCAACTCAGGTGACCTTTACTGATAATTGATTGACACAGACGCCTCAGACTGTCCATGCAGGAATGAGACTTCCAGCCCCGGCTCTGCTCCTCCTCATTAATTAGCTGTTTCCTGTTGACCGGAGGGGTTTGCTGGTTAGTTGCGGGCCCTGGCTAGAGCGTGCTAATTCCCCTGCTGCCGTGTGATTGGCGGAGAGGCCGAGTATTTTCAGATTCTAATCTCGTTACGACTCTGCACTGCTAAGACTGTCTGTTCTTGTTCACGCGTAACACTCTTGCCTGAGGCCTCTCGCCTGCTGCTGTAATGTACTGAGGCTCTGGGCTACTCTGCAAACAAACACAAACGCACACGCCGGCAAGAACCGTTAAGTGTGCCAGAGCAAGACACTCTTGCTGTCGAGTCGCTGACCCGAATTCTGAGTTCAGCTGCATCTCTGTTTTTTTTTTTTTTTTTTGAATGGGCTTCTAGTGTTTGCTCTGTCAGCTGGAACCGGGCATGATTCACCTTGGCGGTTGCCTGGTGTTTTCAAGAATGCCAAAGGACATAATAAGCCTGTTCAGTTGTGCAAGAATCAGCTTTCCTGTTTGTGCATGTTGTTCGGTTGAATGTGTGTTCAGTTTGAGCTCTTTTAGACGTTTCATGTGAGTGATATGTGTGATGGGGTAATCCATCAGTCTCCTTTTTTTTTCTTTTTTTTTTCTTTCTTTCTTTCTTCATTTCACACTCTCTGAACAAAAGGTACAAAAGCTGGGATGGTAACACTTCAAGTGGTACTGATATGTATCATGTAGGTGTTAAAATGTTCAGTTTAGATACAAGAATGTACCATTAAGATGGAAACATCCATAGGTTAATAGGGTACAAATGTGTGCCACACCAATGACAAATTTTGTGCCTTTTTTCTGATCGAAGAGTGATGTAAATTAAAAGCACAATTTATTATTCATTTCTTAAAAAAAAAAAAAATAAAAATATATATATATATATATATATATATATATATATATATATATATATATATATATATATATATATATATATATATATTCGAAGAGTTCAGATGCAAAAACCTTTAAATGCAATCTGAAATGTTCCTTTAAAATAAGCATTTTTATTAGGCTCCTGTGTGAAGGTTTAGTAATATCACTTTCATGGCAAAGAATAAGTCCTTTTCGTGGTCTTCAAAGTGGAATAACTCAACATAAACAAAGGAGGCTGATAAAAATGTTAGTTTTCAATAGAAATTTTAGACGGCATTTAGAGGTTTTTGCATCTGAACTCTTCATATGTACATGAATAATAAATATAAATATTTTGATATCTAAATAAATCTCAATTGATTCAATAAATTGCAACTTTTTTTTCCCACAGATGGTTTTTATTGTTTAGTTTTTGTTAAACATTTTGTGGTGTTTTTATTTGTTTGTATGTCTATTATTTGTATGATTCACTGCTGTATTTGTTTACTGCACAATACTTTTCCAAAGTTAGAGATCGACACCTTTTTTATTGTTGATTTTTATTTATTTATTTTTGTGCAAGAAATTAGTAACTTTAATTATCAAGAAAATGCTAAACTGATTAAAGCTGATGTAAAGCAATTCATTCAAATCCATTTTGGAAAAAATAATAAAGGGGTCACAAACGACTTTTTTCTTGTTTTGTTCTGGTATAAAGTGTTACAATGTTGCAATGTCCTGCAATAGTGAACACCCAACAAAAAACACCTACTCATACTTGAGTGGTGTGACATTACTGTCAGCTCCAATGTAGTTTTTTGTCTTTAACATTTTCCTATTATTTTAGAGCATTTTGCAAATACGGTTTCGAATTGTGACTTTGTTAACAAATCTGAGGTAAAATTCATCTTAAAAAGACCTAAGTTCTTACTGACATGGTCTGAAACTTCATTAACCTTTTAACTGCCTGATCTACCAAATGGTTGACCATATTTTGACTGTTTTAAATAATGACTGTTAAAGTCATTTAAAGAATGACTGTTTGAAATAATGGTTTTGCACTACACAGCATTGTTGGTTTACAAAAACAAACAAGCATAATGTTGCTCTGCTACACTTGACTTTGGTTTTTTAGTTAAAAATAAATAAATAAAGGTCATTTAGTATTTAAAAGTGTTTTATTTTGAAAATTTTTTAAATAAATTGGTTTTACACTTTATATCCTTAGATTTTCACATTATATTTAATAAGTATTTTTACCATAAACCAACATATCAACCATTTGGTAGAGGCTAATATTTTATAAATTGTGACATGCTGAAAAAAAAATGCATTGATTGTGTAAACCAGTGACATTAGAAGCTTAGAAGTGTAATCCGATTTTTTTTTTCTTGGCTTTTTTCAGCTTTTTTTAATACTATTTTGAGTACTCCAACTTACTCAATCACCTGTTGACAGGGAATTTAGAATTTTCAGTTCATGACCCCTTTAAGCTACAGCGATTTTCAGCAATGATATTAAGCTTAGTAGTTCTGAGCACTGATACAATCACATTTTAAAATAGTGAAAACATTTTTGATTAGAAAATTAGCAATAAGCGTCATGCACATTTGCCTAACTATCTCGTTTTCCGTGTTATTTTTTCCTCCGGTAGCCATCCAAGGCTTCTCTCCAACACGGAAAATCCGCAACTTCGAAGAAGCTCGTGGCCTGGACCGAATAAACGAACGAATGCCGCCTCGGAAGGACGGCCAGAAACCTGACGGTACCACAGTTAACGCTGCCAACGAGAAGAACGGCACTGACGGGAATGTGTAAGGGGAGATTTTGCACTTTTCCTCTCCTCCATAGGATTTTCTCTTTTTCTGCCACGTTCTCCATGAGACAGACCCTTCAACTGCCGGATCCTGCAGAGGAGATGTGGCCTGGGATGTGGAGAGGAATCATTCCACAATCAGAGAGAGAGAGAGAGAAAACACTTATAACTAAGTACAAACATGAGATTTTATTTATTAAATGAAGCGTATTAGATGTACTTGAGATAGCAACATTTTAAAAACGAGTGAACATTGGAAGTGCAAAAAGAAAAAAAAAACAGGTATACAGTCACAATGTGTCAACCTTTAAACCGCAACTACAGTTCATAACTTGAGAATGGAGTTTAAGATGCTTTGAAATCTAGTTAATCCCAGTTTTTATTATTATATGTCATGATGTATTTGGCAAGGGATGGTTTGGTTGAATATATTGATGCATGTTTATCAATAAATATGTCTGTAAGGGATTTATTAGCGCAAAACAAACCTAAGGGAAAGACGTTATACTGCAAGTTCAATTGAAACTATTTTATATCTATAAAAAAGTAAAACTCTTTTAATATTACTCAGTTTCAAGCTAAATTTTGACTAAATATTAGCTGCTTCCGTGTTTTTTGTTTTTCCATAGCATTTATAAATGTCTTTTTTTCGAAATACAGCACTCGAGTCTTGCCAGATGTAAGTAGCCATAACATTGATCTTAAATAGAAGTTGTTTGATTCTATTTGTGAGTGGGGAAAGGACTAAAAAACAAAGCAAGTCTTATGAAATCACTGTCACAATCACAAAACGTAACTTCTGCATCTCTTTTGGAAGTTATTTTTGGGTTTTCAGAGCTGTCATTTGACAAGCCTTCAAGAAGAGACTCTTTTTTTTCCCTCAATTCGTTTTTGCCTGTTTCTTAAAATGCTAGACGAGATTGGCATGCAAACTGTTTTATTTGTTAATATCTATATATACAGTTGAATCTGTTAGTATGCCTATAAGCTCTTGTACACATGTAACAGCCAATGTGGGATGTGTGAAGTTGCTTTGATTGACTTAAAAGCCAAAGTCTTCTCTCTCTTTTTTTTTTTTTTTTTTTTTTTTTTTTTTTTTTTTTTTTGTGTTGTGATAAGTTATTTGCCAGAGCTCTAACCGACCCCATTTTAGGATAGGGCGGGAAGGTAATGGGGAAAACAATTGCACTAAATGCAAGTGGTTGTACATAGAGAACACCTAATACATAACGTCGAAGCAGGAAGTCTTATTTCTTAAAAGAATGTTCTCCAGACTGTCATTTACTGCAAAAGTATTCAGCTTCCACTGAGAAAATGCTCGTACAGATTATATCAATTTTATCTGGTTTGCGCTTGAGACGTTAACAAAGCATGCCGAGTTTGATAAATGTGTTTGAGCTGTAACACTACGTGAGGTATTGTGGAAGGGATTTATTTGTTTCTCTTTTTTTGTGTGGCTGCTGCTTGTTTAGAGGAAGTTGTGGTTTGTCTCCACCTAACGTCCAGATACAGAATTTCAAGAGATTATAAAGAAACTGCATTTCAATGCGATGTTTTAGTTGATTTTTTTAGCTAGAGCAGCGGCTTTAGTCATGGTGTTGAATGTCTGATGCTATGCACACGAGCAACCCACCACATTTATCAGGTCATTTGTGTGGAAGCATTTAAAAATTTTGTAAAATGTGTTTTATTTTGACTTTTGTTTTTAATACAAGACCGGTTCTTTATATGAGACTCATTTTACAGCACTATTTCAGTACTAAAGCATTTAAATCTAATGATATGGCCAATATGTTGTGCTCCTCTTTAGGTGTATGAATTCACAGCTTTTAACAGAAATAAATATGTGATTCCAGTGCAACCTTTTGACATACAGCATTTCCTGAAGTGTTTGTGTGTGTGCGTGTGTGTGTGTGTGTTTTGCAGGATTAAATCAGTGCAGTATGTCTGTGAGCGCTAAAGGGAAAATTTGCTACATTTATTTGCATGTATTTTAACTGATTCCAGTGAGCGGACTGAAATGAAGCAGCTGAGCTGGGATCAGTTTACGGTTTTCCTTGAATGGTTTAACAGGGTGTGGCCTGCTTGTTGTTTAATGGCAACCTTAAGTTCTAGAGGAGGGAAGGGGAAGTTTGAATCTCTTAAGTTTCTGTTTTGCATTCAGCCTGAGTGTTAAAGAGCTGAAATGTTGAGTATTAAGCCTTCGCAGGCTCAGAGACTCAATTAAGTCCCTGGCACACATCTGTGGGAATGTATAGAGATGTTGTTTATGCACATTAATAGCATAATTATAATTACAATATGGGGATTTCATTGAACAATCCCTTCGTCAAGTACTTGTAATGCGAGGCCACCATAAATTCTTGATATTCTGTAGATGTATCAGTTAAGAAAACAAATAAAAACTGAAATACTGTGGACCTCATGCTTGGTCATATTTTCTTTGGAAAAATTCACCATTCACTTGAATGATTTAACAAGCAAATACATTTCTATACAGTAGTCGAGAGAGCTTAATGTGCCGCATTTTTAAAAAACGCATGCAAATTACAAAAAAACACCAGCAAATTAAAAAAAAAGATCTTCATCACTTTGACAGCACACTCTGTTCACCTGTGGTAATTTCAGTTGATTGGACATGATTTGAAAAGCCATACACCTGTCTATATAAGGTCCCAGGGTTAACAGTGCATGTCAAAGCACAAACCAAGCATGAAGACAAAGGAATCGTCTGTAGATCTCCGAGACAGGATTGTCTCGAGGCTCAAGGCTGGGGAAGTTTACAGAAAAAATTCTGCTGCTCCAAAAGTTCTAATGAGCACAGTGGCCTCCATCATAAGTGGAAGATGTTTGGAACCACCAGGACTCTTCCTAGAGTTGGCCAACCATCTAAGCTGAGTGATCGGTGTAGAAAGGCCTTAGCCAGGGAGGTGATCAATAACCTGATGGTCACTCTGTCTGAGCTCCAGGGTTCTTCTGTGGAGAGAGGAGAACCTTACAGAAGAACAACCATGTGCAGCAATTCACTAATCAGGCCTGTATGGTAGAGTGGCCAGACGGAAGACACTCCCTGCTTGGAATTTGCCAAAAGGCGCCTGAAGGACTCTCAAAACATAAGAAACAAAATTCTTTGGTCTTTTGAGATAAAAAAAAATTGAACTGAATGGAGTGAATGCCAGGCTTTATGTTTGGAGAAAACCAGGCACCACTTATCACCAAGCAGGACAATGACCCAAAGCACACCACCAAAATATCAATGGAGTGGCTTCAGAACAACTCTGTGAATGTCCTTGATTGGCCCAGCCAGAGCCCAGACCTAAATCCTATTGAACATCTCTGGAGAGATCTGAAAATGGCTGTATACCGTCGCTTTCCATCTAACCTGATAGAGCTTGAAAGGTACTGCAAAGAGGAATGGGCAAAACCTCCCAAAGACTGAAGCTTGTGGCATCATATTCAAAAAGACTTAAGGATTAATTAATAATTGCTGCCAAAGGGTAATCAACAAAGTATTTAGCAAAGGCTGTGAATACTTGCGTACATGTGATTTTTCAGTTTTTTTTTTTAAATAAATTTGAAACAATTTCAATTTTTTTTAATTATTATTATTATTTTTTTGGTCATTATGGGGTATTGTGTGTCGAATTTTAAGGAAATAAATGACTTTAATAAATTTTGGAATAAGGCTGTGACAAAAAAAAAAAATGAAGAGCTATGAACACTTTCTGGATGCACAATGCACTGCATTTTCCTCATAATGCAAACAGCACATTTTATTAATTTGTTTGCGTTGTGAGAAAATGCAGCATGTTTTTTATGTTTATGCATTGTGAGGATTCGCAAGACTTGTGCTGTTAAACCGATGAAAATCTTCCCTAAAGATCTCTTCTTAAATTGCAGCATGTTAAGCTCTCCTGGCCACTGTATTTCTATTATGTATTAATGTTGCATTCACAGTACAGCAGGTTTTAATACATACAAAACAGACATTTTTGTGTGTTTTAAGCTTTTATATTTGATAATATCTGTTGAAAGTGCATCATAAAAAGTGTTACAAAGTACAGTATTGCTTGAGCTGCTTGTTGACACTGCATAAAAAAGTAGAAAAGAATTTCATCAGTGGAAAGTAGTAATTTTACAGAAACAATGTAAAGACTTAAGCTTAGTAATTTTGTCTCCGTAAAAAGTATTGCCTTAGAACTGATGAGCAAATCATTTAAAAATCATTACGATACAAAATATGCGCAATTTACACAAAAAAGGCTGTACAAATAAATAAAATTTTATTCATAAAAGTTCCAGTTAAAAACAAGCATGACATTCATTGATTCAATAATAGTTTACACACTATAAGTTGCATTTCTTTGTGCTAAGCATTTGGCTTTTTTCACAGTAGGATCTTGAGTGACGCCAGCGCCCGCCGGTCACACTCTGGATGTTTGACAGGTGCTCCATATCACACTCTTGGAGGAGGTGGTCTAAGAGCCTAAAAGGGGGAGAATTAACAGTGTCAGAAGACCTGATAACTATATATTTCAAATGTTTTAGTTACTTGAGAGAGGTGAATGTAGAGTACAGATCACCCAAAACATTTCAATTTACCTTTTATTATCTAAGCTTAAAATAAACGATAATCAAGGATATGATATTTTGAGGCTTTCAAATCTGAAGGCAAATATAAATCATTTTGATGATACTGATTTCTAATAAGGTGAATAACTTGTGTTTAATTACCACTGAAGCGTCATTATTTGACTCATGTTTTAAGTGTTACAATTGCCCACCTAAATTGAAGCTGTGAAACACTGCTTTATTTTATTTAAAATCAACATTATATTAGTGAAAGTATATCAACCATATCAATCGACTACCATTTTGTTTATATTGTAGAAATAGATGACTTAAGGAGGTGGGAAATGCAATCGCCTTTAGTTTTTGCTATGTAGCGAAACGGGAACGAAATGCCGCGAAAAGTGTTTCCACATGTGACGGAACATCATAGGGCACAATTAAACGGAGTTCAAACGTCATGACAAAACTGAAGACCGAATAGTTAGACGACAAAGTACTCTGACAGTGTGATAGACGGGGAAGTATGGTATATCGAATGATAGCTTTTATCACAACATTTTACATGCTGTTCACGACGACGATATACGACATACAATAAATTAAAAAAAGAAAGAAAACTTGGTCTCAATATGACGTGCAATTAGCAGGTAAGTCAGCAAACTAATCTGATCTTGTAATATTATACGCGACTTGTCTTTTATTGCAAAATATGCAGAAAGCTCGAAGCTATACTCTCAAATAAACAAAAAACGAAGAAAAGACAGCTGCTTTGGGGTAGTTCACCATACATCTATACACTCGTTCGCCCTCGTTCCAGATATTTAAGTAAAAAATTAGAGAGATTTATATTTATCTAACAGTCTACTAGTCTTTTAATTTTCATTTTAGACATCGAGTGAACTATGTTTAAACACAGTCATTAAACGTGTTACTTGTGTCTTATGTGTCTTGGATTGGACCAAGGCAAACTCTGAAGTTTTGTTGGAACAACATGAGAAGGTGAGTAATACATTTTTGCTTTTGGGTGAACTATCCAATTAAATATTGAGCTGTGCTACCTGTCGTGCAGCCATGAATTCATTATGTGGAGCGTGCACTGAGTAGGGTGGAGGTGGAGGGGGTGCTGAGGGCTTGATTACCTAAAGAAGAATGAAGAAGAAAAATCAGGTAATTTCTTTACATTTATTTTAGGTTATAAATTAGGTGAGATGTGGCAGGAAGTTACTGGAGTTGGCTTCTGATTTGGTGTAGCAGATCTCTGTTGGCTGAGATCCGGGATGTCAACTACATGAACTTTCTGCTGCCTTGGCTGGCCTCTAAGGAAGGAAAAACAACATGTAATATCCCAGTAAGCATTTTCAGAGTTTAAAAGATGTCTGATAAACTAATTTCAAATAGCCGCCATTTTAAAGACGAAATCGATTCTGTGGTGGGAAGAAACCCGGAAGTATCGCCTGGAGTCACGTAGGAATGTTGTTTACCTGGGTGTATATCTGATTAGTGAAGTGAAAGTGACACAAATTTATCATTTCACTGCCTTCCGAGTGACTCGAAGGTCCATTTTGAATGGATTGTGAATAGAAAAAGGGATATCAGACCTCATTTTCTGCTAAGGGAAATGGCACTAGTTAGCTAACATTTTCTTTTGCAAACACACGTTTTAGATGCCATTTATAAAACTCAAGTTAATGAACTGATTCTTTCATTGTATTAAACTTGTCACAATACTGAATTTTGGTACTGAAATAAAAAAAAAAAACGTAAATTTCAGTGCTCAACAGAAATGACTGTGATTGGCCAAGAAGGTCATCAATTCACTGCACTTCACCGATGTTTAACGACTGCAAACACAGAAGAGCAAATGACTGATCTTTGTGGCTTTAAAATGCTCCAGTGTCCCTGTAATTGTGTTCGCACTCAGTGAAGAGCGGTGAACTGACGACCTTCATGGCCAATCACAGTCATTTCTGTTGAGTACTGGTAAATACTATGGCAAATCAGCGCTGTTTGAGAACACATTCAGTGGTGCCTATACGTTAGCGGGAAACAGACATTTTTAAAATTTCAGTACTGTGACAACACTTGCAGACAACACAAGATTGTGCTACAGAGGACTGCATTGTTTTATCGTTCACCGGGTTACAGGCTGAAGCAGGGAGGTGTCCCCACTGTGTTTACCTGCTGCAATAAACTGAAGCCTAGGAGGGCACATATGCATTTTACTCTTAAAGAGATTGTGATTTTGTTTGATGCCTTAAACACTTTTAGTTGTTTTAATTAAACTTAACTGAACGATATTAAAGTGATGTTTACACAATTTCTTAATTTTGAAATCGCGGGAACGTAGTTGTAGTTCACAGCATGTTGCTGCAATGTTTACAGTGCTGATTCTATACTTCCAGGTTTCTTCCCACCGCAGCCTTGCTTTCCTTTTTTAAAATGACGCCAGTGTGAAATAAGCGTATAAACATAGTCGTCTTGGCTAAAACAAGGCTAAATTTGGTCTGTAAGTGAAAATCAAATAGATGTCATCAAATAAGCAGAAATGAATGACTACACATATACAGTCTGTCTAATCTGTCTATTTGACAACTAGTCTACTTTTGGGCTATTCTAAGATGTCTATTAGATTTTCACCGACAGCCCAAGTTCAGCCTTGTTTTAGCTAAGCTGTCTATGTTTAGATGTCAATTACATGTCTATTAAACACAAAATTGTTTGTTGGGTTGCTTGATTTATTAATGTCACCCATGTGCTAGCAGTGGTTTCCTGTAGTCTTACCTGTATGCATGTGGCGTGCTTGTTCTGCGTTTGCATAAGAAGACGGTCAGTCCAATTAGAAGTATCACAA